CCCCGACTGAAGGCGCAACGCAACCCGCCTTTCGAGGACGTCGCGTTCGACCCTCGACACTGAAACCGCGGGCGGTCGTCGCCCCAGCCGCGCCCTCGATGTCCGCCGCGATTCTTTCCCCCGCGCGCACCGCCTTTCTTGGAGTCACCCTTCTTACCCGCCACCTTCCCCGCTGCCGCCGCCTTCGCCGCCTGGGGCGGCGCCGCGCAACGCGGGGGCAGCAGGAGCGGCCCCCTGAGGGCACTCACGTTGACACTCGGCCCTTGAATACTTACACTTCCCCCGAATAAAGCGCCCACAATCGACGCATCTCATCGAGGCACCCCCGCCCGGCACGGAGACCGACCGCCCTTGGTCGCCCCAAACCCCCCGCGCCCCCCACCGGGAAGCCACGGGCGCGCAGCTGCTTCCGCTGGAGCTCGCGGCCACGCCCCCCCCCCACCCGTCTGCGCGCGCCCACTAATCTGAGCGAGCAGCCATTCGTGCGACTCGGCGCTCTTGCCGCGCCCATCGCCACTATGTTCGCATATGGCAAGAGCCACCGCCATACTCGGGCATCTCTGCATCTGCTTTTAACAATGCCATTTGATAGCGGTTCGGAACGACTTATGGGGCGCTTCTATCTCAATCATGACTTTCATCCGTTCATCGCAGAAATGGAATAAGTCGTCGCCTGCTTGCTCCTCCGACCCTCGGACTGCGATTTGCACCAGGTCCTGGCACGCATGCGTCTGACCGTGGTCCTGTCGGGCAGCAAGGCGCACGGCCGTGGCCCACGAGATAGCGCGCCAGGAAAGCATCTTCGACTTCTTCAAATACTTGAGAAACCAGGCGGCCGATGCCACTTGCCAAATGCCTCATGGGAGGCGACGCCTTCGCACTTCTTGAGATTTTGCAAACCTTCGACATCGAGCCCGAGGCGTCATCAAATCAAGTCTCCCAAATTCGCCGGGATCGTCGAGGCCCCCTAGAGCGAGCCTCTTGCATCTGGAACGCAGCATTGATCCAATGGGGGGCCCTCTTGCCCACTGCGTAGAGCTAGACGAGACAAGCCTAACAACGTTCCTGGCATCAGGGCTCGGATCGAGGACGACCGCGCCCGTCTTTCCCAAATCTGTCCACGCGATTCCCGCCCCGGGCCACCGCTCGGGAGATTCGCCGGATTTTCACCCCCCGGCGGAGGATGGCCACCAGGAGGAGCGCAACACCTGCGACGCTTGTCTCCGCCATCGCTCCCTTGTCGCCCGACGGATCTTCGCTCTCGCCCTCAGATTCATCTGGGTCAGAGTCTGATTCATCATCGGATCCGCCACAGCCGTCGCCGAGCGGGCCCGAGCCTTTCTTCTTCTCGGCAGGTGCAGCGACCCCGGGGCATAATCGTCGGACTCTCCACCTTCAAACGCACCGCCGCCACCATCGCCCCCGCCCCCGGGCGTCGGGGAGCTCGGGGGGGCGAAACCTCGGACTGTGATTTGCACCAAGTCCTGGCACGCATGCGTCTGACCGCGGTCCTGTCGGGCAGCAAGGTGCGCGGCCGTGGTCCACGAGATAGCGCGCCCGGAAAGCATCTTCGACTTCTTCAAATGCTTGATAAACCAAGCGGTCGATTTCACTTGCCATGTGTCTCCTAGGAGGCGACGCCTTCGCACTTCTGCAGATTTTCGACATCAAGTCCGAGGCGTCATCAAATCAAGTCTCCCAAATTCGCCGAGATCGTCGAGGCCCCCCATATGGGGGCCTCCTGCATCTGGAACGCAGCATTGATCAAGTGGGGCCCTCTTGCCCACTGTGTAGAGCTAGACGAGACAAGCTCCTGGCATCAAGGCTCGGATCGAGGACGACCGCGTCCGTCTTTCCCAAATCTGTCCACACGATTCCCGCCCCTGGCCACCTCTCGGGAGATTCGCCGGATTCTCACCCCCCGGCGGAGAACCGCCACCGGGAGAACCGCAACGCCTACGACGCTTGTCTCCGTCATCGCTCCCCTTGTCGCCCGACGGATCTTCGCTCTCGCCCTGAGATTCATCCGGGCCAAAATCTGGTTCGTCATCGGATCCGCCACAGCCGTCGCCGAGAGGGCCCGAGCCTTTCTTTTTCTCGGCAGGGGCAGCGACCCCGGGGCACAATCGTCGGACCCCCCACCTTCAAACGCACCGCCGCCACCATCGCCCCCGCCCCCGGGCGTCGAGAGGTCGGGGGAGTGAAACCTGGGAACCCAGCGACAGGCACCGCCTCCACGGTGACCCCGTCGTCGCTTCCTTTTTCTCCGACGCCCATCGCCTTACCCATCTTTCTCCTCTTGCTCCATCCCCCGTCCCTCGGCGACTAGCTCTGCCAATGCCCGTTTTTCCGCGCGCCGTTCTCCTCGCTGCTCGTTGGCCGAAGCGCGGCGCTCCATGTTCTTGCGCAACATAGAGATAAACCAACTGCGCCCGGCCATGGCGCCGTCCTCATACGCCCTCAGCGTCGACCGACCTCGCCCCCTATTCCTTGCCCCGAAGAGGCCGCGGCATCGCCGCGCGGCTTCCCCGCAATGGGTCGACAGCCGAATGGCCCTGCACCCGGCAAAGATCGAGCGGCCGCGCGCTCATCCCTCTCCATCCCAACCTCATGCCCGCCGCCCCCCCCCCCCCCCCCCCCCCCCCGACATCCCCCACCCCCCGCCCCCTTCGAACGGGCGCAGCGAGGGCGTCGCGCAACGATATTCTTCCGGGGCAAAATGGCCCCCACACGAGGCATTCGCGCAGCGCCGACAATCGCGGACTGCAGTCTTCGAATAAATCAAGCACCACAGAGAACCAGCACCGACCGCCAAGCGGGCAGGCGGGCGCGCTGCCTCGGGCGAGCCTGACGCTACGCGTGAAGCTCTTACAGGCACTGACGACCGTTTCTCTGCGGCAGTATATCTCAGCTTGCTTTGGATCCACCGATCCGACAGCTCACGGCACTGCGCCTCGCGACGAGAGCCCCACTGTTTAAGCGCCTGCGCCGCAGCCGCTTCAACGTTGCGGGGTGCTGCGCCCAGTCTGGCGTCGGCTTCCTTTTCCACCATCATAACAAAAACCGCCTCGGCAATAGCACGCGAGGGCGAGGCTATCGATTCCAAGGCAATGGCGGGCCCCGGCGCCGAGAGTCATCGACCTCGCCTCGGGCTCGACGCAACGAAACAGCACTCTCGTCTGCAGTGCGCTTGGCCGCCTCAACAGCGACTCTCCTTCTGGCGGCCGCCTGCTGAATCTCGACACCGGCTTCAGAGGTCAATTCAACGCTTCGTTCTACTGCGGCCTTGAGTTCTGAAGTTAGATGAGCCACCGACGCCGCGCGACTTTGGTCGGCCCCCCGGACAGCAGAAGCAGCATTCTCAACGACAGTCTCAGCAGCAACTCGCGCGCGCCTCTCGGCCGCCCCTCTCGCCTCGAGTCGGCGCGCCACACGTTTCATCTCAGCGTGGGCCCTCTCGGAGCTGTCGACCATCGCAAGGCGCGAGCGCCCCTCGGAGCGCTCCAAGGCGCGGATAACAGCCCGCCTGCCTCACTCGATCTGAAGCCGCGCCGCCGCCCCCAGCTAAGGGTCCGCAGCCCTGACCCGTTCCTCCACGTGCGCCATTTCTCTCTATTTCCCGTCAGGGCGGCGCTCGCTTCCCCGCCCCCCCCCCCACCACCACCACCAACACCACCACCGCCGCCATTCTCAGCGGCGGAGGGCCAAGGAGCCACGCGCGCAGAGGGCAAGGCAGCGAGGGCATAGAAAGCTCACCTCGCACTTGCACTCGGAGCAGTTCGCAGCTCACTGAGCACGCCGAGCACACTGGCTTTTTACATCTGCCAATCATTCCAGGGCACCTGAACTCAGGGGCAGCGGCACAGTCGACCCCTCTGCGAGAGCATTCTTCTCGCATGCGATCACTCGATTCGTTCGGGCAAGCAGTGCGCGCCGATTGCGACGACGCCCCCGACGTCGCTCGCCGCCCCTCCGCCTCGCGGACGCCCTAAATCGAACCCTTGGCGAGCGGGCTCTTAAGATGGAGGCCCGGGTAGGACTTGCCATCAGCCGCCCCAGTCGACTCGTCTCTGCGCCGCCAGACGAAGGGGGCGCCACGCGATCTGCACCTCGGTCTACAACATTTCCCAGACCGGCATTGCCCAACTCCTCTGGTGGGCTCACTGTTTTCGATCGTTTGGTCATCGGCGATTCAACCAGGTCACGCCATCTCGGGGCTGCGCACCCGCTGGCGCTCGTGGAACGTCACCAGAAAAAAAGATCTTCATAAAGGGGTCGTCAATGGCGCCGAGCTCTGACTGGAGAGGGTTCCATGTTCCTGAAGAAGGAGCCCGGCTGAACCATCGCTTCGACTATCATTTTTCTCCTCGCGCGTTCTGGCAAGGCAACTAGGCAACGAGGAAGATGGACCAGATAACTCGTCATCCAAAAATACCTTGATGAGTGGTAGTCTTGTGCCCACGTTAGAATCATCCCGGCCTAGGCGCACCTGGCCGAAAGGGAGAGCTGTCGCCGCTAGACACGGAGACAGGGATACCCATGCTCGCACCCCGCGAGGAGTTTAAAGTCGGGCCCCTGACATCGCCAGAGTCTTGGAAGACGATGTTCGCCGCTTGTTTTAAACCACGTGGATGTTCTGGCGTACCAAAAACATCACCCTCATCACCAGTTCCTGAAAGGAGTGCCTCCTGGCCTCGTGGAAGAACTTCCGCCTGATAGCAAGTGTTTTACCGGTCCATCGTCATACTAGGCAAACGTGTATTCTTGTTGATCATGTGTTAAGCTTGTCGATATTCTTCTAGCAGCACACGAGAAGCGAACCTTCCACTACGAACTGGTGAGTACACGGCTGTGTAAGTCCGTTAAGCAGAACTACTCTAAGCAAAGTACTGTGTATCCGCATGCGCGCGCGAGGCGGGCCCGCCCCGCTGGCCGGCGCGCGCGCTTTTGCTTGAGTTGCTATCACAGCTGCGGAGGCAGTCCCTCTGCATGATCAATACCCTACCTATAGTGTGCAAGGGAAAAGAATGGAGGGCTGCAAAAGTAGGCGAAGGGCGTGTTAATGATGAATGGATTGTTGAATTTGCTGGAGTCGAGACTCTCACACACACACACACACACAAAAACATACCACGAGCCCGTCAAACAAATGACTCAACACGACCCATCGTCCCTCCACCATCCTTACCCGCTCAATTCCTACCTCATTTTCTTCCGCTTCCCTCTGCAGGCCGAGAAGATACCTGGAGCGCCTGGATTCCAAAATCAAGCCTCAGAGGGACCAGCAAAGATGCCGACCGTCTCGTTGAAGTAGATCTGGAAGGCGCTGTCAGGGGCCTTCTTGTTCATGTTGGAAGACCTGGGGGCCAGAGAGGCAACGCTTCGCCTCGGCTGGCCCACTTCCACATCCCTCATCATATCCACCCTTTCTCCTCAAACTCCTCCTGATGGACGTCCTCATCACCATCCCTTCAGCTTCATCATCCTTCACCATCGCCGCCTTCATCATAATCGTCGCTAATCAAATCCACCATCACCATCACCACCATGACCCTCATCGTCTCGGCAACCACGACAGCCACAATCGTCGCCGTCAAAATCGTAATCGTCATCGCCGTCATCATCACAATCATGGTCCACATCATCAGCATCGTCATCATCGAAATCATCACCACCACCATTACCATAATCAAGAACATCAGCATCATCACCACCACCACCACACCCCCGTCATCATCATCATCATCAGCATCAGCAGCATCAGCATCAGCATCATCATCGTCATCGTCATCATCATCAGCATCATCATCAGCAAAATCATCATCATCATCATCACCACCGTCATCATCATCAGCAGCAGCACCATCAGCATCATCATCAGCATCATCGTCATCTGCATCATCATCAGCATCAGTATCATCATCAGCAGCATCAGCATCCTCATAATCATCAGCAGCAGCAGTAGTAGTAGTATCATCGTCATCATCATCATAATAATCATCATACGCATCATCATCACCACCACCATCATCATCATCATCAGCATCATCATCATCATTATCATCATCATCATCACGAGCTTCATCATCATTGTCTCCGTCGTCGCCATCATGGCTATGCTCCCTGTACTTCTTTCATCGCAATCCCTCTGCCCCTCCCTCTCCTCTCCCCTGTCACACATGTCCGCTCCGTTCTTCTCTTCCAAGTATAGCCAGAGTCCAGTACCCCCAAAACATCATTTCTTTAGCCAAGGCTGCTCCTCAGTGTTCGCGCGTCCTCCTGCTCCTGATCCGCCTGCGCCTTCGGCGTCGTCGTCGAGTTGTTCGTCGTCGCCCTCCTCCTCCTCCTCCGCATCCACGTCAATCTCGTTGTCGCCCTCGCCCTCCCCCTTTCCACTACACCTCCTCCATATCATCCCCCTCCTCTCTTCCTCCATTCCTTGCCCTTGTGAATAACTCCCCCGTCCAACCCCGAGGCCAGTCGGAAGGGCGGGCCAGGCGTTTCGCATGCGGCTTCCTTGTCATGTATGAGCCCGAAGCTTTCAAACTGGCAACAGATTTACAGTTGCAAAGTTTCGCGGATTGGGAGCGGAAAGTTTTCGAAATGTGGTTCTCGCCATAACGCCGCGCACATTCGTTCGCAAAAAATCCATGAGCTTCACGGATTGTGCGCGGGTAATTTTCAAATGTGGCTCTCGGCCTAGCGCCGCGCACCTTCGTTCTAGAAAACTGCAAGAGCTTCACGGATTGAGCGCGGCTGCTTTTCAAAATGTGGCTCTCGCCTGAGCGCCGCGCACATTCGTTTCAATAAATTGCAAGAGTGTCGCGGAATGAGAGCAGTTCCTGTTTCAAAATGTGGTTGTCGCCCTCGCGTCGCGTACATTCGTTTAAACATGCAAGAGGTTCACTGGTTCTCATGGTTAGCGTGTCAACAAATGTGTTTGGCAGCGACTCTGGAATGCCAGGGCGCAACAGTCACGTGGATTCGCCTGGTGTTCTGGCACGAGTCAGGGTCGTCAAGAAACAACAGCCATATTGGCTCGTGGCGTTGAAGTCCTGGGAGTGGTAGCTTGGCACGCTTCAAGATTCTCGCACAGTTGTTCCCCAACGGGGCAACTCCCTTAGTGGAAATGAACCTTTGTATGGAGCCTATGAAGAGGGAGTGTGGAAGGAGAGTGGATTCCAACATTTGTGATGAGTCTTGGGTTTCGACTGGCCCTCCTTCTCCTCCTCGTCGTCGTCATCACCCTCATCCTGATGTTCCTGGTCCTCCTCCCCATCCTCCTCCATTCACGCCTCCTCATATCACTCCTCCTCCGTCCCCCTCCTCATACGAATCCTCCTCATCCTCCTGGTGCTATTCTCCCTCTACGATTTACACCCCATCCTCCTCATCATCCTCTACTTGTTCATCTCACTCCTCCTTTTTTGGTTCCTACTTCTGCTCTTCCTCCTGCTCGCCGTGCTCCTCCTTGTAATAATCGTACTCCACTTTGTGTTCCTCGCTCCCCTCCCCCCTCCTCTTCCCAGTGCTCCTCGTCCTCCTCATGATCCTGGTGTTCCTCGTCCCCCTCCTCTTCGCAATATTCCTCCTCTTCATCCTCCTCCATTTCCTCCTGCTCCTCCTGGCATTCCTCCTCTTCCTCTTCCTCCTCCTCCGTCTCCTCCTCCTCCTCCTCCTACCCTCTTCCGCCTCCTCCTCCCCTTCCTCATCGCCCTCCCAATAAATTTGCTCGTCATCCTCCTCCTGCTCCTCTTCCTCCTCCTCTTCTTCCTCCTCCTCTTCTTCCTCCTCCTCCTCCTCCACTTCCTCCTCATGTTCCTCTTCCTCCTCCTCCTCCTCCTCATCCTTCTCCTTCCCCCTCCTCCACTACGCTTCCTCCGCCATGCCAGGGATGCCGAGAGGATGTCTCAGGCGAAAAGCGCTGGACCACCTCGCGCGCAGCATCTTGGAACTCAGAGTTGTGAGGATGTCTCGGGCGAGACTTGTCAGACCACCTCGCGCGCGGCACGTCGGAACTCCGAACTGAAAGGATTTCTCTGTCGAAACGCGACGGACCAGCTCTCGCGCGGCATCTCGGGGCCCAAGGTTGCAAGTATTTCTCAGGCGAATCGTGCCAGACCACTTTGCGCGCAGCATCTCGGAGCTCAGAATTACGAGAATGTCTCAGGCGAGACGCGCTGGACCACTCCGCGCGCGGCAGCTCGGAGCGCAGAAGTGCGAGGATGTTTCACGCGAAACAACCCGGACCACCTCGCGCGCGGCACCTCGGAGCCCAGAAATGTGAAGGCGTCTCAAACGATAAACGCTAAGAACCACCCGTCGCGCGGAGTGTTGGAACCTAGAGATGCGAGGATATCTGACTCGAAACGCGCAGGACCACCTCTCGCGCGCGACATCTCGGAACCCAGAAATGCGAGGATGTTTGACGCGAAACGGACTGGACCACCTCCCCCACGGCATCGCAAAGATAAGACATGCAAGGATGTCTCAGACGAAACGCACCAAACCACCACGCGCGCGGCATCAGACGAAATGCGCCAGACCGCCTTTCACGCGGGGCGCTGATCTTCACAACGATATCGAACGATGACGTCGTCCTCTGGCCATGCGCGCTGGACGTCCGAGATCAAGTTTGGCAGCATAATTCCCCACAGCTCGGCACGGCCCCTGGTCTGCACGCAACAGGCAATCGTCTAGAGGTCGTGCTACCATCGGCCGGATTGCTGACTCGCTTCGACCATAGCCGTCATCACGATGGCCTTTCCATAGTGGACACGGACATCGACCTCTCCGTCTGAGTTTGCGCTCTTTTAAAAGAAGGAGCAGTTCGGCACGTCGATTGGGCGATTCGGAGGCGCGTCGAATGTCTTCGACGCGCGCGCCCACGCGGCCTGTGAACGCCCTGGCCCTCTGGTCGCGCGGGTCCAGCGACGCCCCGACCTCCTCGCGGTGGACGCTGCGCACGTTGGTCGTCGTCGCGATCCTCATCTTCAACCGCGTCGATCATGCAAAGAGTAGCGCGTTCCTCTCCGTCACCAGAGAGGTCGCCAGGGCGTGGATAGACTGATTGGCACGCGCCAGGCACCAGCGTCCTTGGGTTTGGACGCTGGCGCACTGGGCACGCGAAGAATGCATCGTCGTTGTAGAAATGCATTTCCAACACATCCGCCCTTGGCACGTCCAGCGCGTTTGGAAAGCACGATGGCCCGGGCGCACCTCTGGGTCGCATCCGCCCCCCCCCGGGTTGATCCATAAAATCCCGCAGAGCAATCGCGGCAGCTGCGCCCTCCACTATCGCCCGCCCCGGGCACGTTTCCACGACCAGGTCGCGATGCGAGCTGCGCGGCGACTGCAACGAGTCCCGAACATCCTTCGCACCACCACTTGCGCCATCAACGCAGCACGCAGCACGCCTCCAACCGCGACGATAACGACGAAAATGAATCGTCGCTGAAATTGCCCCCGCGCATTGACGCCAGATCCGCCAGCGCGGAAAACTCCAGCATGGATCCAACAGGGCCGGCGCCAGGATCTCATTCCGCAACAGAACGCCGATCCCCAGAAAGCCCCGGAGTCCGAGGCACGCTCCGACAGCCGACAAATTCCCCCTGGGCCAGATCCAGGGTCATCAATGGAACCGCTGCGCGGGCCGCCAGACTGATGGCGCGCTGCGCGCCCGGGTCGTCGCGCGGCTTGCACAGCGAGTCGGCACGCGGCTCTGGAGCTGCACGGCCCCGCCCGCGCCGAGGGGCGTCGTCGTCGTCGCTGGCGGCGCAGAAACGTAGGCGATCAGGATGGCCGCGCCCCCTATGAACGATAAATTTTCCACGCGAATCACAATTCCCCCCTTCAGCGCAGTTCGCCGCCCTCGCGCGAGGGCGAGGGCGAAAGTGCGAAGGGCGCCATTGAGGACTTGACTGCGCCACGCACGCGAATGGGAGGCCAGGCGTCGCTCCACGCCCGAATACACGAGGCATTCCCTCTCCATTTCTGGCATTTACTGACCGCGCAGGGCCATGTCCCGCGGATGCTGTCGCGGCAGCCAGTTGCCGTGATAACCGAAGTGGGCAATCTCAGGCTCGCCAGCATCACGGGCGGAACCGGGGCCCCGAAGGCGCGAGGAAGACGCCGCTGGATCCGGGCCGACCACTTCGTCGTCTACCACCTCGCGGCAAGCGCAAAAACACGTTCGTTTTCGACAACGGCATGGCGAGGCATTAATGACTCACGCTCGGGGCCATGCATCTCGGGTCGCGCGCCCAAGAGCCGGCGATTGCGATCGTCGCCAGAGCAACGAAGGCGCGGTTGCATGCACAGGAGCACCGTTGATGGAGAGCGAAGTGCCCAGATGGTAGC